TATACATACATACATATATTAGATTTCTAAAAAGTAAAGACATTAACCTATTCCTCTGAGAGACTAGCACATGCTGACACATGGTAATTTACGAAAATACATATGCATGCATAGGACATAATATGCGCATAGGTCATAGAGATTTGATATCTGAAGACAAATAAAAGTAGTAATGAACGTCCTTTCTTTTTCATTCATCCAGCAACCATGCAACCACACTCATATTCACAAATATATAAGCATACACTTAGTCACACACACACCCTCACACACATACATACACACACACACACACACACACACACACACACACACACACACACACACACAAACACACACACACAAACATATACACACAAACACACATCGTCTCCAATCTGAAAATGTGAGATTTGAAAAGTCTACTCACTCATTTTCGTATTCTTCCAGACTAGGTTTCAGCGCTGTGAGAGCCGAAGACAAAGATACCTGTGGTAAAGAAAGATGCCATACGGTTTGTAGTTGGAGTAACGTAAACCCTGTTATTCGAGTTTGTTTAAGGGTGTGGTCCCAAAAATATTCCGAAAATACACACCAATCAACAAACTAACGGCTGTAGTAGAAGTAAGAAATATAGTTCATTGCAATTCAATTGCATTGATTCAAATTATTATGCTAACACTGTTTTTTGTTGTTTTTTTTGTTGTTGCTTTTTTTCCATTTTACACTCTCTATTTTTGGGGGGTTTGTTTTGTTACTTCTGAATTTCATTCATGATATATGTGTTTTCATTTGTTCACCGAATCTTATATTCTGGGGTCATTGATGGCAACATGGCAATCATTGAGAGTAAACAAATTTACATGCTGCGTTGTATTTTATTTTTGACAAAAGGACCGATTGTGACCTTCTTTACTTCTGGCCAGACTTCAACACCCTGCAGTCTATTCATCATTAGAAATGACAAGTAATTATATGGCAAGAAAATTGTTTTTAATTTTACTAATGAACAAAAATGATGATGACAATGATGATGATGATTATGATGATGATGATGAGGAGGAGGAGGAGGAGGAGGAGGAGGAGGAGGAGGAAGAGGAAGGGGAAGGGGAAGAGAAGGAGGAGGAGGAGGAAGGAGAAGAAGGAGAGGAGGAAAAGAAGGAGGACGAGAACGAGGAGGAGGAGAAGGAGAAGATAAAGGAGAACGAGATGCTGCTGCTGCTGCTGCTGCTGCTGCTGATGATGATGATGATGTTGACGATGATGATGATGATGATGATGATGATGATGATGATGATGATGTGGAGGAGGAGGAGGAGGTGGAGAAAGAGGACGAGGAAGAGGAGGGGGAGGAGGAGGAGGAAGAGGAGGAGGAGGAGGAGGAGGAGGAGGAGGAGGAGGAGGAGGAGGAGGAGGAGGAGGAGGAGGAGGAGGAGGAGGAGATAGAGGAAGAGAACTTCCTGTCAGCCTCTCGTAGAAATAAAATTGATACTCCTGCTAGACTAGCATCAATTTTTTTTATAATTAGCCCCTTGGCCTGGCTCCCTTTTAGTCACTTCCGTCTAGCCTGGAACCACACGTACTCTTAAGAGTACTTAATACGTTGTTCGTTAGGCCCATGTCCCTGCTAGTATACAGCGTTCATTTAGCTTTTCTCTTAGTTGCTCCTGAGGCGAAACGTTGAGCCATTAAACAAATTTTAAACAGTTTATATTGTTATGTTATTTTGCCTGAAATTCATACAAGACTCCCTCCTTTTCTGCTTTCCAAACAACGATGATGATGATGATGATGATGATGATGATGATGATGATGATGATGATGATGATGATGATGATGATGATGATGATGATGATGATGATGATGATGATGATGAGATCGAAATGATAATGAAGAGGAGGAGGAGAAGGAGGAGAACAACGAGGAGGGTGGCGAGGAAGATGTAGAGGACAACGAGGAGAAGGAGTAGAAGGATGACGACGACGATGATTAAACTCACCAAACGCTCATCAACGTGGTCAACGACATCCTCAATGTACTGGTTGAGCAGTTTGTCTGCAGCAGGTATCCTGCCAGCCTGCTCATAAATAAAAACTGTCAGTCAGTGTCTGTCTGTCTGTCTGTCAATCATACTGTTTGTCTGTCTGTCTGTCTGTCACTCATTCTGTTTGTCTGTCTGTCTGTCTGTCTGTCTGTCTGTCTGTCTAACTGTCTGTCTGTCTGTCTGTCTGTCTGTCCGTGCGTCACTCATTCTGTCTGTCTGTCTGTCACTCATTATGTCTGTCTGACTGTTTGTCTATCTATCTATATATCTATCTATTTATCTATCTATCTATCTATCTATCTATCTATCTATCTATCTATCTATTTATCTATTGTCTGTATGTCTATGTCGATTTGTTTGCCGTCATTTGTACTAAATGCTTATACTCAAATACTTATACCGAAACGCAGAAGTTTGATTTCCAGTGGTTGGAGATATTATAAAAAGCCCACGTACACACGTCAGTATACTGGAATCTATACAACGAAACAGACAAACGATAGTACTGAGGTGGGCGTAAACTATATTACAGGAAAGTGTGACAGGGGCTCTGTCTTAAGGTCAACCTGTTTGTTTGTGAATTCGGGTTTTACCTCTTGGAGAATTCCCCCCTCTGTGTCTCGGTTTAGTCCGGTTCTCTCGTTCACAAACATGGTGATGAGCTCTGCGGAAAGGACGCCTCCAAACTGGGGATTCCGGATGGGAGTTGAAATGAGAAGGTTAAAAGTGCAAAAATAGGGTTTAAATCGTGTTTAGTAAAAACGTCAACTTCTGCATCTCCCACTCACCTGTCCCCCTTCCCTGTACCCTTCCCCTCTCCCTCTCCCCAGCCACTTACCAACACAAACACACAAACACACACACATACACCCACACACACACACACATACACAAATTAGAACGTACACACACACACACACACACACAAACACATGCACACAAACACACACACACAAACACATACTCACAAACACACACACACACACACACACACACACACACACACACACACACACGCATTCAAATAACAATAATAGCAACAGAAACAACAATGACAACAATATTAATGAAGCACAAAGAAGAAATTATCCAAGAAAAATTGAAATATCGAAAGACAACCAAAAAGAAAAAAAAAAACAACTAAATACTATAACGCAAGCTTTCATTATAAGTAAAACACATTCGAAAACCAAAAACAATTCTTGCAAAGAAAAGAAGGAACCAGTAGCAGCAAAATGATTCCATCAGCATAAAGAACAACGGCAACAACAACAACAATTACATTTTGGGGGGGGGGAAATCCACAAACAAAAGTTAAATTCAGAGGCCCTGCTCTTTTTAATAGTATTACGGTTTTGAAATGGGCGTTACACCTATACAACACACAGGGCGCAAAGTATAAATACCACAATGTTTTTCGAGAGACCAGACATCTCAATTTGCCATCCATTTCTGTTAGAATTTAGCCAATTGGTGTCAAAACTTGACAACTGTCAAAAAAAGCTGCGAGTTCAAGAACACTTCAGTAGTAATTTCAACCATTTCCACCCAAACCGTAGTCAAGTATAATTAATATGGATTAATAGTGAGCCCTGATATAACAATATCGACTCTGATACTGGCATGACACACTCAGAATTCCTAATCCTATTTGTCTGATAGTCCCTAAAGCAAGACTTACTCGTTTTGGGGTGTCTTTCTCGTCTGCTTGGAACCACATCAGTACTGGAGTCTCTCGACTTTTGAACCTGATAAAAGAAATGCTCTGTTCACAAGCAAGCTCTTTCAGTCTGTGTGTCTGTCTGTCTGTCTGTCTGTCTGCCTGTCACTCACTCTCTCTCTCTCTCTCTCTCTCTCTCTCTCTCTCTCTCTCTCTCTCTCTCTCTTTCTCTCGCTCTATAACTCTTTCTCTCTCCTATCTATTTGTCCATTTCGCACACATTCGTACAAACACATACATACTAACACATACAGACATACAGACCCACACACACACACACACATACACTCACACACACACACACACACACACACACACACACATACATACATACATACATATACACAAGTTATACTTTCGACCAGACCAACCCATTCGCTTTCACGAATGACGTCACTACTGACTACGTGTATCCCCCACAGAGTGCAAAGT